TCGCAGCGAATCCCGTGCTGCCCTTTGCCGTACCCACGGCGCTGCAGGTGGATGGATCTGCAGTATAAAGGTTCATGGCTGCTGGAGAGAGGGGCTCTGGGGCCAGGAGGCAGCAGAGAATGGAGAGCCCCCAGGGAGAGCTGCCTGGGCTTGCTGTGCCTCCTGTCTGCAGGGCACCCTTAAAGTCACATCTCAGGACAGACCGAGCCTCCTGGGGCCACCAGGTCAGGTGGAATTCCTTCAAACAAAATTCCTGACAAAGCCCTGCCTGCTGCTATCCACATCCCTACAGAAGGATTTCAAACCTGAGGTGCCCAGTGCTCACACAGCCCTAGCCCACAGCTGGGGTGGGAAACAGGCACCATGCCACCAGCCCAGGTTTGCAGGCAGCAGAGCACTTTGCAGATCCTCTCACTGCAGCTGTCAAAATTCTGTTGGACACTGGGGCCAAATGCCACATTGTCCCCAAATCACAGCCCTGCATGGGAGATTTGAGGTTGTCTGGGCTGAGACAGTGGCATCTGGGCGTTGTTAGCAGCAGGTTTCATAGTTGCTCTCCTCCCTTGCACCAGTAAACAGATCTCATGGGGGTGTAATGCACCCTAGCACTTTAATCCTCCTGGGGATAAAGTGGATTACAACGCTATTTGGCTGGCCACTGGGTGCAGAGCCAAACTGTTATAACAGGATTCAAATCCCTTCCCTAAGTCAGAGCAGATTTGCTTGTTGCTTTAAAAACTAGTGAAAGACAGCCCAGACCCATAAACCATGTTACAGCCCTTTTAAAATATTAAGATTGAACTATTTTATGACATTTTTTGAATAATTTTTTCTTTTGTAATTCAACAAGTTCCTTGAAGTGCTAGAGAGGTGGAGATTGGTGTTTTTTACAAGAATAATGCAAATACACTTTTTAATTTAAAAAAACAGTTTTCACCTCCCCAAAGAGTTGAAAATTGTGTGTAAAAAGCTAGTAACTCCTTGAACAAAGAAGATCTGTTTTACTCAGCCATATGCAGCATGTAATGAAGCACCAGCACCTGTCTGGAATGTGATTGCACTGCTGTCCCCTGCCTGGCTATTGGGACAGGGACTGATGCTAAGGAGTGAGGATACCCCCCCAACTTCACCTTCTTTCCAGTCTGCAGTTCTGGGGAGAATTGTTATTGACAGGGGGCAAATGGACAAGAATTCACTGGGCCTCACCTCTGCAGGATCAGAAAACCCTGCCCATTTCTTCCATGCAATCTTCCCAGCAGATCAAAGACGCACATTTAAAGGAGGACCTTTAAACTTTCCCTGCATCAGTGTTGCTCCTTCATTTGGTATGGCTTTGGAGGGAGCAGCCACTTGGCTAGAGAGCTCTGTTGCCCAGCTCTGCCTCTCCAAGGGAAGATGTCAGGTTGACCACATGCTTGAAAGAAGGCAGGTTACAAAGTAATGGATATAATATGATTGAGGAGGAAGGTGACCTATATAAGTGTGGTAAGTAAGTGGTTTTCTCTGCTTGGCAAGTGAATTTTGATCCCAGCATAGCACTGTGCTGTGAGATGCCGCTATGTCTGCGAAAGCTTTGTAGGAGGACAAAGAGCAGAAAGTGGCAAGAAGGACAAAGGTTCCAAAATAAACACCCCCTCCGACTCATACTCCTGCCAAACCAACAAAACAGAGGGAAACAGTTGCAAAATTGTCTTTCTTTCTTAGAGTCACTCATGTCTGCCTGTTGAGTGCAGGAAAAATAGCAGCAGATCAATAGAAGTGTCTGTACTGACACTTTTACCATCTTGCCCTTTAGGAAACACAGAAATGTTCTTAAGCCTTCCCAATTAATGAGACTTTCAGTGGGAAGAAATACATGGGTTTCTCTCTAAGTGTGTGCTTCTCTACCAACCTCTGGATCTCTCCGAAAAGAAGAGGCAAGTGACAGGTTCTGGTTATTGTCAGAGGTCCAGGCTGTGATGATGATGACAGCATTCTGGAAGAACTTTACAGGAGTGCCCCTTTGGCATGGCTGTGGGTCTGTGAAAGCAGAAGCTGGTGCATCCTTCCCTGCAGGGCACCAGGGCTCCTCTGCTGCTCACTGAGTGCTTTCTGTGATGCCACATCTCTGACACACATATGTGATCACCAGCTACAGATCCTCCTGTGTGGGCTGAGTCCCACTACATCCCTGAGCACTCCCTTGGGTGGAAGGAGTGAAAATGGAGGTCCTGCAGCAATTGACTTTAATGAAGTTATGTGTAGTGGCACTGATTGAAGACCTGGCCTGTGTGAAGGATGTCAATGTGCATAATCACACCAGAGTGTGATGCCTGTCATTCATCATTTGCACCAATCAGCCAGGAGTCCCCGTGCACCAGCACTGTGGAGATACAGAATAAAGTAATCCCTTTGCAAAGGGCTTATGATTTTGGAGTAAGCACAAACATTTAAGTCTTGAAGAAAAAGGAGAGAAATGACATTGCTCCCAGCCCTTGTTTCCTAGCAGGTTTGTATTCATCGACCGCGAACCTTAATACAGTTTTCACTCCACTTGTCAATTGCTAAGATAGATTTGGGGGCTGTCAACAAAATGTTACAGTTGAAAAGACCCAGCTAGAAATAATAGACTGAGAAACATCAAAGTAGTCATAATACTGTAAATCACCACAGAAAAATAACTTTGGCCCTTTCACATTTCATGGTCCCTTAGATGCCTTTTAAGAGGAACAACAGCTCCCTGTGTATCCCTGGGGGAGAAATGGGCACCCTGAGAAGCAGGTTCACCTGGCTTCAGTCTGACACCAGGCTTTGGGCAAGGTGCCTTGCTTGCCTGGAGCCAGCAGCAGGCTCCAGTTGGCCCTCAGGCTGCTGTGGGTGAGCAGCTGTTTGTGTCACGCTGGGCACAGAGGGACCTGATCCCCGCATCTCCTCTGGATGCTGCTACAAAGGGGTGATGCATTCCTTACACAGCTGGAGGGAAGCTGAATGCCTGGGGAGCACATCAGGGCTAAAGCCCACCGTATTTATGTGGGTGGTTGTGGCCTGGGTAACCTGGAGCACTTGCACAGCACGTTTCACTCTGCAGTCAGAGGGGTTTTTCACAGCAGAGGGTTTCTCGTCAGCTTGTTCATCTGAGTGGTGTCTCAGCAGGCTCCTGTGCCTTTGGGTTCCCAATGCAGCCCTATCAGGGGAGCAATTCCCACCCCAGTTATGACAATTCTTATTGGGGCTTCACTGACACACCAGACCTTTTCCTAGAGTGTCCTGTTTGTTTCCAAGAGAATTTGCTTCCAATGCCCGCACTCAAAGGCTGCCACAGCAGGACTGAGACTGTTCATCTTTCCGTGGGGCTTTCAGTCTGAGCAGTGAGGAGCTTGGGCATGGGGGATTTTAGTAAAATGAAGTGCCATATATGTTTAACACAGCTGCAGCTCCTACCATAGCAAACCTGCAATTCAGCAGGACCTGAAATGATAAACTTGGGTCTAGTCTTGGGTAGCAGTGAAGCAATAGTCACCCCTCTGTGTGCTTATGGGACCTTATCAGACAGTTCCACTGGCACTGAAATTGTGTTGGGACCTGTTGTGTGTTGAGAGCCTTTTTTTTCCTGCTCACTTTAAAAAAAAAAAAAATTAAAATGATAGATGAAGGTAGCAGGAGACAGTCACATAAAAGGGTTGAGCACAAAAGAATTCACTGACAAGATCTCCCCGTGCACTTAGGAACGCAGCTATTTCTTTGACCCATTCAGACAACCAGACGCTTTCAGATAATGACAGGCTGTGTGTTTTTAGCTTATCTTGCGAGGAGCGCGGTGCCGGCAGAGCCGAGCCCGCACCCGGCGGTTCAGCCCCGGGCAGTGCCTGCCCCAGCCGGCAGCGCTCAGAGCGCAGCCTTGCGGGAAAACCCTCCCGGAGCCGGCACCCTGCTAGAAACAATCTCCTTCTGCCTCAGCACAGCCTGAGACGGGAAAGATGACTGTGGGAAACATGCCCTTTTTTTTTTTTTTTTTTTTTTGTGAGGTGATGCTACTCTGAAGAGGGATTTACCCCATCAGTGGACGTCCCAGTGACCAGGAACTCTGGAAACATTCTTCCTACAACCCCTCCAAGTACCTCACAGGGACCCTTGCAGTGCCAAAAATAAGTTGTCCTGAATTAAATTAATTTCTAAGCTTGCACCAGGATAGCGGAGCAACCTCAAGAGTCAGGTCAGGAAGGACTTCTCACAAAATAGAAGCCACTTCATTAAAGTTAGTCATTCACCAGTGTGATAAAGTAATTAAAGCCTCCTGATTGCTTTCTCCCCCTGCTGCTCCTTCTCTACTACAAACATGAAGGCTCCGGTATAGATGGAGCTGTTGACACTTTTGTCAGTGAAAATTCAGAACCGTGCAAGTAAAAGAAATGCTTTTATGGGTACTATAAATAGTTTTGCGTTAAAGCAAATGTATCCTCCTTCCTAAAATAGATTCACCTTGCAAACAGCTTAAGGACAGTTTCAGCGCCAGAGGAATGTCTCCAGCTCCCCCCAGGAGACAGAAACAGCCGGTTTTCCTCTGCAAGCGGCAGCAGAGGAGATCCCTCTCCTGCCATCCCCCTCTTCCTGCTCCCCACAGCCTGGCAGCATCCCTCTGTGCTCGGGTGTCAGCCTGCGAGACCACACAGCCTCCTTCCACTACAAAGGGATGTTAATTCATCCAACTAACTTTTCCAATCATTTTTACTAAACGCTTGCAACATGCACGCTCATGGTGTGGGCGAAATGCAGGAGGAAACTTTGGGGAGGGGGAGCCGCGGCTTCCCACGGTCGCTCGGAGCAGTGGGTTCCTTCTCCTTTGCTCCTAAGGGAATCATGCATGCAGACAATGCAAACATCCTCCCTGCCACGGCTGCAATGTGTTAACAGCACTCTCCCCTTGCTGCCAGAGCACAATTTCATTCCCTGTGGAGAATCACGGGCGACGGCGGTGGGGACGACGAGGAGATGTTAGAAGAGAAAATAAATTTTTAACTCACCTTGAGGGTGTGTGTTGGATTGACGACGCAGACAAGTTGCCCGGCAGCTGAGAAAACCCTCTTTGCCTTGTAGTGCTGAAACCGCAGGTGAATGAGATCTAACACAGCCCCAAAGCACTGGGTGAAGAAAAGCATCACAACTTTTGGCGTTGCTGCTTCTGCTCCTGCTCTGCGGCTGCTGCTGCTGCTGCTGCTGGCAGTGGGCAGGGGAAGCAGCCGGGGAGCTCTGGAGCCCTTGAGCCCGGGGTGGGAGTGTAGTCGGCGAGAGCTGCTCTCCGGCACAGCTTAGCATGCCTTCATATTCATCATCAAAATAAGACGGGAAGAGGCTTGCAGCAGCGGGGCGGCCAATGGAAAGGACAGGAATGTTATCCTTGAGGTCCGGAGACAGCCAATAACAAATGCCTCCCCTCCAGAAACTCCCTGATGAATTGAGCCTGGTGGAGAATGTATTATTGAACATTACCATACATCAGCACATTGCATTTATCTTGCGATTACAGCCAGTCATACGTAAGGCTGTGGAGATATGCAGGCAAAATTGATTGCTTAACATCTCCATTTATTAATTGCTTTAATTTAACAAAGAAGGGCTCAGATAGCAAAGCTAAATGTAAGGCGCAGGGAAGAACCCCTCCAGTGAAACTGTTGCAAAGTAGCAAAAATAGGTTAAGCAGACTATGTTTTACTGAGGGAGAAAAATCAAATATGCAAAGAGAGTTACAGCTCCTTGCAGGGGTTAAGCAGAAGTAGAGCTTGCTACATAAATAGATTCTTACTGTCTGTGCATTCGCAGGCTTCAATTTGGATTTTCACTGCTCTGAAGTTTTCTAAATTTTATATCCTGCTACTTCACAAGAGTCCCAGCACACAAATAACATTTTCTACATCATTGAAAAGAGGAGAGGTCAGGTCTCAGGTCTGGAGTAACTTGGAATAACTCCATTTAGAGACAGCAGTGTTTCCCTGATTTACACTTGCTGGTGGATCAGGTCTGTTGGACACAAAACATGGTAATTACTGGATGCTGGAACTATGGGAGCATAAAAAGGCACAGAGCACGCTTCTAAAAATAATGAAATATGTGATGCATGAGAGCATCGCACACACAGAGAAACTTGCACTGAGGGAAAAGTGGCTTTTAAATCAACAGAATAATTAAACATGCAGAAGGCTTTTCCTTGTCGTTCATCTGCATATCAGTGAGCAGGAAATTACGAATTAGCCATTAGATAGTCCTAGGCATTAAAAAGGAATTAGGGAAGTGCAACGAAAATAAACATGCTTTTAGGTATTATTGCCAGTGCGTATCTCTGCTGGTGGGCAGGGATCCTTCTTGAGCCATTGAGTCTCATTGAACTTGAGTCCCTGTAACTGGGTTTTCTGGGAGGTGACTGAGTTGAAGCAGCTGAGGGAATCAGAAAGCACATTAATTTCATGGGACAATCCTGTGTGATGTGTTGCTCTGCTTGTTAATAAATCAAAGAGAGTTAATTTAATTAGCTCTCTGCCAGAACTTCCTATCAGGGTACTATTTAGGCTTACTAGCTAAGTACTCAGATGGCTTATTTAGCCTTGGTAATCCTTTTTCCCTTCAAAGCAGAACAGAGAAAAGTAGCTTTTCTTTTCTTTCATTTTTTCTCCTTCTTTTTAAAAGTGAGCCCCATGCTGGGGGTGAGGCTGCTGCTGCGGACAGAGGAACCCCCATACAGCATGGGGATTAGCCTGGGACTGTATTGTCACAACTGCCTCTTCCTAAATCAATACTGCAATCCTGCCTCTGCCAGACTGCAGAGGCTGTGCATGAAAAAAAAAAAAAAAAGAAAAAGAAAAAGACATCAGTGGATAAATAAGTGCAAATTGTGAATGCTGGAACAGCTGACTACACAACCCCCAAAAACCGCTAAGGATGGGAGGAATATGTATCTCTCAGTTCCTAGCATTTGGTTGTAAATGAGAACAAGAGATAATTTTTGCAGTGCTGAGTGACACTTTGAGAATATTTTCAGACAGACTTGAGGACAAGTGAGTGAATCGATTTGCCTAAAAACGTATTCTTTCTCTCTCTGTTCCCAAAGTAACTGTGAGTGAGCCTCCAGTAAGTTATTATTTGTTTTTTCCTGATTTGTAGTGAGTAGCTGCACAAATCTTGATACCAGGAAATTTCAGTCTGCAAGTTACCAGTGCAAGTATTCTGCCATCAAAGCCATAAATGAGCTAAAGGTCCTTGCTATTTACACTGCTTATTCCAGTGGAGATAATTTCTGTTTGACTACTGACTAAATGCTAAGACTTGGGGAGCACCGCCATATCCATGGGCAACAGAGATGGATCCCCCCATCCCTGCAGTCCTGCTGATCTCAGAGCTCTGGGAATTCCGTGATCCGCCCCCCTTGAGACCCAGCTGCCCTCCAAGAAGAAGTATCCCTAATCCCACCGGCCCATAGAATCATCTTCAACCTGAAAATGTGTTAGTGCCTCTGGGCTGGTATACAAAAAGGATTGTTGTTCTCCAAAAAAAGACCACGTCCAAGGATGGGTGAGGGACCTTTGCAGTGCCCAAATCCTTGTGTGCATCTGTGTCCATCATACTTGCTACACGTGGCTTTCTGAGGAGCATCTGTCTGCCACCCATATTTGTGGGGAAGGATGAAAATAAGCATTCAGTGCATCTGAAGGTAACTTGTGTTCAGTGCATGAGCTTACATTCGTGATGGCACATCTGGAAAATATTTTACTGCCCATATTTTGTCCAAAGATTGTCACACAGCACCTGCCTACTGTATTTTAACACTTTTAGCACCTGTTTGATGAGGGGCCCAGCATCCACTAAGACACAGCAGCTGGCTGTGCAAGCAACTTCTCTTGCAAACAAAAATCAGCAGCATCATCTGGCATGTGGGTGTGGATCCAGCTCTTTCTTCTGCTTTCACATACAGAGGCTCCGGACCAGCATAACTCCATTAACTTGAGCTCATGGTGGCCTCACCCAGGCTTAGGAGTCCAAGGTCTGCTGCCCCACCTGGCCTCACACCATGGAGCAGTGTGACAGTGCTTAATGCCATTATTTAGCTGTATGGATGCAGCCAGAGAGAGGGAAATGTGTTCACCTGCAAGGGGTTCTTGGTGAACCCCATTTCACTGCTGGCTGCAAATTACTGGTGACTGCAGCTGTTATTTCGAAGACAGTTAATTCTGTAGCAGACAAGTGGGAGGTGGCAGAAGTCCATGAGCTAAACCTCCATTAGGATCTAGATTTTGCCAAATTAGCAGTTCAAGTGGCATCACTGTAACATGCACGGGATTATAATGCTCTAAGCACTGAGCTGCTGCTGCAGCTGCCTCCGGTTTGCAGGGTAATAGGATCAGCCAGGAACCAAAACCAATCACAGCAGTAATAGCTGTCCAGTTTTTCAGTCTGAGCTGCCAAGGTGAGAGCAGAATCCTCCAAGGAAACCTCAGGTGTCCAGGCACTGTGTGACTTGGCAGGATGATAACCTGGGAGATGGGCTGCTCCATACAAACCCAACAGAAGATTTTGGGTTTCAACCAGATTTGTTTGTTTTTCTGACAGGGCACTTTTGGGAGTCACCTTCCTGCATGCTGCCCTCTCTCTTCAACAGCCATAGGGGAAACCTAACCTGCCACATTCCCAGCACTAGTCTTTGTCCCAAAAACAGGAGAGCAAATGCTGCTTGGGGGTATCAGGAGCGTCCATTCAGGCTCCTCAGCAGCCTGCCCATGTTTCTGAGTGCTGGTAGGATTTCCGGCAAGGCTGGCTGATGCAGGACATCCTCTTGCTCCACACTTTGTATTTCCCTGAGAAAGGAACCAGGCCAATCTGACCTGTCACCTGGCCGGGACATCAGGCAGTTTTCTGCATCCTTTGGATCCAAGCAATGTACAAAGCTTCATTGCTCTCCTGTCTCACACAGCAGGTTTTGAGGAGAGGCTTTTGCACTGTTATAATTTTCCTTTGTTGTCTTTTAGGCAAGAACATACGAAAAGTCTCACTAGGTCAGTGCAATGACTCCTCCAGCACCCTGTCCCCTGCAGTGACTACAGGAGATGGCATGTTGAGTTGACTTGTGGACAAGGATCACCACCTGCTGTCCATTCTTCTAGCATTCCCTAAGCCCCTACAGCTGTCATCCTGGGGCATTGAAAGGCACATACATAAGGAATCAGAGCCTTTTAGAAGCAGCAGCAACTTTTACAACTGGAACAAGAGTTGCAGCCCTCCAGCCTGGCCCCTGTAAAGCATGTGCCACTTCACACTGACTGCTTTGTGCTTTGATTGGAGCCCATTCTTTCCAAAATGTCTGGCTTTGAAGATTCCTGTGAAGGAGACCAGTGGCATCTCTTGCTAAGTTCTTCCAAAGATTATGTATCTTCACCACTGGCATTTTTAAATCAAATTTTCAGTCTGAATTATTTTTCTACATGATCTTCTGACTCCAGAAAGTCATTGTGCTTTCCCTCACTGAGCTGGGGCAGTCTCTGCCATCACAGACTTTCTGCATGTGAAGACCCAGTTTTTGCCCAAAACCTCCTCCACCAAACCCAATAGAGAGGTAGTGTTTCCTTTGCAAAGCACCTTTCTTGCCCAAGGTCAGGTCACTCTTGCAGCTTCTCTGTATATTTTCTCTACCTCCTCCTCCTCTTCCTCCCCCTTCTTCTCTCTTCTCGAACCTGATCTGCTTCTCACCCCCAATGAGTACAGAAGCAAAGAGACATCATGGTGCTCTGGTTACAAGCATGAGCTGTCCACTCCTCGGGGTCTCCATTCCACACCTCCACTTTGCTTGCAGGGCAGGTTTAACACCAGTGCAGCTACAAGGAAGCCAGAGCTGCCTGAGGGCATGGAGGAGAATCACAGACCTCCCCCAAAAATGCAGGGAGGTACTCCCTCCTCTCATCTTATGGGGCAACTACAGTGATGGGAAGTGAGAATATAAGCAGATTTTTTTCTCTTGTTTAATAATCATCTGTCTTTTTTCAAAAGCAAAGTGTTGTCAGAAGTTGTTTGCTCTACCAAAATTCTTTATCTGGGGTGAATTATTTTGCCAAATAAGTTTTCAGAAATCCATTTTGACTACATTCATTGATACAGGCAATAGCTGCACTGGAACTGAACACATGCTTTAAGCTAAATGTCTCAACAGTTTTTATTTTCTCAGAAGAACAGCTTTCATTGGGCAAGAACTATCAAAATTAGTTAAATAACACGCCAATTAAGAGATCAGTGATAAATGCCACAGACGATCTTTCAAAACTTGTGAGAAAACAGAATTTGCTGAACTGTAACCAATTTTGCAATTCTGACATTTTCCCCAGTGTTTCCTGAGTGCTGCCTTTCTGCTCCCTCTGGGCAGCTCACCTTCAACCGTGCATGGTCATTGCCCTCAGAGCTGCCTTGCAAGGCTGCAATCCAACACCATCATTGGAATAACTGGGGATGCACATTGCCATTTTTTTACACACGTGGGCCAGGTCTCCCCCA